CTCTCTCTCTCTCTCTCTCTCTCTCGTTCTCCGTGCACCGCCAGTCTCCTTATCAATCTCGATCAAATCGAAATTTATCGCCAAACAAACGCACAAACAATGAAAATATCGGCTCTGCAGCGATGAATTGACAACAGTAACGTCATTGTATTTCAGCAATCACTGTCATTATTATTACACGAAAATGTTTCCCTCGTTAAAACCGGATGCACTCTGTATGTCGAAGCCCTTTTAGTGCGCGCTCTGCACTGCAACGAAATGTTTTCGAAACATTTTGTAAAAGCGCATCGCCAACCGAGTGACAAGCAACACGTTGAATCGAAATGGCTTTCATCGCGGAATGGAGGTAGGAACAAAAAGCGAATCCGTTCGCAGTATTACGTTATTTCGTCTGTCTGTTCGTGTATCTTTCGGTGTATCTAATTTGTGGTTCGGTTTCGTGCTCGAGTATGCTCGAACGAGCTTGTCACACGCAGGCTAGCGAGCAGCCACGTCCGTCTCTGCTGGGATAAAATTAGGATCCGGTGTGGAGAGAGACGAGAGAGACCAACAGCCACCAGAAGTACAACAGAACAGAAGATCCATTCATATAGTTTTTCGACTTGTATTTCTCAGCTAACTGTCTCTAGCGTCTTTCAATTTTCAAGCGTCTTCTCTCGCGCTCTCTGCCTCAGGCATCGCAAATCGTGGACACCGCGAATGAGGGACAAAATCCCTCGTTGGCACATGGCGGATCGATGTGCAAAACGTTTACGCACAAGTCTGTTGCATAGGTGGCGTCATCACGGCCACTTGTAGCTGATACTGTCAATACGAGGAGGCTGCTGGCATAAATTCGGAACCAGAGGGGCATAAATTTGTCGGCAACAAGCTTTGGACATTAACACGTCCTCCTATTTTCGGCCGTTTAGCAGCGCGCGCGCGAGTAGCGAGGCGGCTGTTGAGTTTTCCCGTTCAGTTCGAAATAACAGCACATCGTCTTGAAAGCGACGCGTGTGTGAAACGTCAATTGTAAAAGGAAAGAAATATACCGGCGGTATATTTGTCCATCGACGCAACAGGCCGATCGATATCGCAGCCTATTCGCTCTGGAACTCGCGCTATACAGCATACACTTGAACGTCCCTTCCTTTTCTCACACGCTTTTCCTTCTTATCTCTCTTCTCTTCTCTTCTCTTCTCTTCTCTTCTCTTCTCTTCTCTTCTCTTCTTCTCGAATCTTCGTCTTGCGAATAAACATATTTCTCTCTGTTCCTTTTCTTTCTTTCTCGCAGATTGCCTCGGAGGGCGACCGGAACGAGCACGATTTTCGAGGCGACGGGAAAACTATCTTTCAGCGGGGAGAAACCTGGCGTTTCATTCCCCTTTGCCAAAGATGGAAGGACGAGCAACCTTCAACAGCGTTCGCCAGTTGCTCACGTTACGAACGTGTTGTTGCGCCAACCGGTGCAATTTGTATGGGATGGTGCGATAACAATCGCGTAAAAGACAAATTGCCAGCGTGCCTTGCGACGCATTCGCGAAAGCATTTTGCAAAGATTTGATGAAAAGGGGAAGAAGAACACAGCGAGT